GCCGGCGTGACGACTCCTGCGGGCGGAGTGGGCGGCAGGAGCTCCTCGGTGGCCTTTCGCGGGGTCTGGTGGAGGCGTGAATTCCCAGGATGTCAGCGGGGACTTGTCCCAGTTACATCACTTGGAACGAAGCCCCAAAGAGCATGGGGGGTGGGGGTGGAGGGCGGATACGGTAAAACCTGCTGGGAAATGCGAGGGGTGCTGTTTTTAAGGATAATAAAAGGTAGCGAGTGTCACAACAAAGATGATACTTAACACTGAACTAAACATTTAAAAATAGCGAAGATGGTGAATTTTATGTTACTGACTTTTTATCACCATTTAAAAAAAGTAAACAGCTGCTAATGTAAAATGGTATAACAGAAATAATTAATAAAAAACAAAGGAATAAAGAAACAAAGGCCAGAGAAAGAGAAAGGTAGGCATAAGCACAATATCAGTCATTCTGTGACACAAAGACCAAACACTCTAGTTACAGACATGGAATAACAAACTCGATTAAAAGAGACACATTAAGGACTCTTATGTTAGCTGGTTATAGCGTCGTCCCCATACACCAAGGTTTTGGGTTTGAACCCCGGTTAGGGGACATACAAGAATCATCAATGAAAGCACAACAAATCAGTGTGTTTCTTTCTCATATGGGTTACTTATGTCTTCTTCTGTGAACTGTCTGTGACCTTGGCACATTTTAAAGTTGGGTTATTGGTCATTTTCCTGTTGCCTAGTTATATTTTAGGAATGAATAGCCAGTGAGTGAGTTGCATATATATTTTTGAGTTTGTTCACTTAACTTACGGTGTCGTCCCCCCCACCCACCCATACAGAAATTTTTAATTTCTTATGTAGTGATTTCGTTGATCTTCTGGATTTTGATGAAGAGATAAAAAGGCTTTCCAGGAACAGGGAGTTGCTAACGCAGGACCTATAGAGCTTCAGACATTCTGTGCATGTGTGCTTGTATGTTTTTCTGGAAAGATGCCTCATGACTTTTATCAGCATCTGAGAGGAGCCTGTGAGCCAAAGAAGGTTAAGGCCCCAGGAAGAGTAAGAAAATGCGTGTTTACTTCAACAGCACCAGAAACGAATGCGGTTGTTTTCTGTTGCAGACCCTCTTGCATGAGATGATCCACGCCTACTTATTTGTCACTAATAACGAGAAAGACCGCGAAGGGCACGGCCCCGAGTTCTGTAAGCACATGGATCGCATC